AGTACAACATGTTGGTAAATTCATCATTTCATTTAGAAGGACCTTTATGTACTAAAAGTCCACCTTAATCATTTTTGAAGTTTGTTTATCCTCAGTGGGAGTCAAGGGATGTTAGTGGCAATTGTAATGGACTACAGAGGATGTAAATATTGATTGAATATATTGATTCATGCTCATTCAGAAAGATGGTGAGATAATAGAACTAAATGGTAAAAATGTGAATTGACTATTTAGACTATAAATTTTGCTGCATTCTAGACTAGAAGAAGAGTTTCCTCAGCTCATTGTTGAAGGCTTGATTAATTCACTAATCAGAAAAGAGCTAATATCTTCTTCTCAGTCTCTCCCCTGGAAATCTTTCACCACCTCTGTTAGGCAGCATGACTGATCAGCACTGATGGATTTTTTTTTCTCCATAGCCATTATCTAATTTTTTTTTTTTCATTTTCTTTTCTTTCTTCTCCTCCATAGTACATCTGATATATTCCTAAGGGAAAAGAAATGCACTTCTTATTAGTCCATTACTATATTTAAAATTCTGATTAAATGAAAAGAGAGCTGGAAATTATCACTACTTGAATTTTGAAAAAATATTCTTGGCAAAAAACACAGTACTGTGACAAGAAGATCAGGTTATTCGTTACTATGACTGCAATATTGATTGATTGCTAAACTGAAATGCCAAGGGCCATGTCTTACTTATTCCCACAACTGTCAATGGAAGTTCCACTCATGGAATGAATAGAATTAAATAACCCAAGCCTCCCCCACTCCTTCCCACATATATCTCTTCCTCGTATTGCAACTGCTTAAAAGGCTAATGATATGTGAGCAAAATAACTATATGTAATCCTGAAATTCTGACTTTGTGTTGAAAAAAAGTACTTTCTGTGGCACCTTTTGTTGGAGCATTTTTGGTTTGTTTCTTAGTGATTTTGAGTGTTGCTTAGCTTTATGAAAGAAAAATGAAAGCGTTTGCCTTGGTATATATTGGTATATATATTTCCTTAATTCAACTAGGATATTTGAGTTCATGCCTCCCAGTTGAATGGAGTTTATATCAGTAGAGTTTTACTTTCAGACTGACTGTGGAACAATTATGTAGCTTTAAAAGAGAGAGTAAGTGCCCACAATCTCAGATCTTGGTGTGATTGGCTTGGCGAATGAGGCTATGGGTCTTGCAGTCACTCCATTCCAAATGTTTTCTAAGCCAGAAGTTCTAGCCTTGTGTTTGACAGCTAGGTTCACTTGCCCATTATTTTATCCAATGACATTTTTGAACCTACAAATTCTATTGCAAAGTCTTGCAAAAACCTATAATATTTCATAGGAAGTTCAGTGGTTTCAGTGCGTGTCTTTGTTTTGACCCTGACTTCTGATAGTAGTTCATCTTCACCCTTTTTTTTTTCTGTTTAAAAGCATAGAATCATAGAATGTGTTGAGTTGGATTGGGTTGGGTTGGGTTAACGACTATTTAGTTCCAATCTCCCTGCCAGGAGCACCTTCCATTAGATGAGGTTGCTTAAAGCTGCATCCAGCCTGACCTTGAGCACTTCCAGGGATAGAGCATCCACAGCTTCTCTGGGCAACCTCTCCCAGTGCCTCACCACCCTCACAGCAAAGAGTTTCTTCCTGACATCTAATCTAAACCTTTCCTCTTTTGGTTTAAAACTGATCATGTAAAAAGATGGTCTCCCTCTTTTTTATGAGCTCCCTTTATGTACTGAAAGTCTGCAATGAGGTATCCCCAGGTTTTTTTAAAGAAGTGCTTTTACAATCAACAACTAAAAGGTGAACAATTAGATGTATTTAATAAAATCCACAATGTCATGTATGTGTTCACACATGGAAATATGGTGGAAAGACAGCATTTTATAATTGATGCATAAATAGATGAATAAAAGTTGATAGAAGCTGCAAACACCAAAATTAGTTGAGTATTGGATTCTAGGAATTTGTGATAGTTAAGCATAGTTTGTATGATGCAATGTATAGTCTAATTAATTTTCTTTCGTGAATAAAATTGCCAGCAAATTGTGTATTCATCTAACCATCCATTTATTCAGATGTGTAGATGCATGTATGAACCTTGTCCCTGTAATTACAGAAGAATGGCAGTCATTAGTGAATTTATTCAAAGGCCATTTCTAGCAATGCATATGCCATGAATAGTTTTCCCCAATGTAATTCTTATTCTTCAAAAGATCAGGAAAGTGTAGAAAACAGACAGCTGTGAGATGAATGACTAGCTCTTGTTTCCTCTCCTCAAATGTTTCAGTTAGGCTTCTGAAAGAAACTAATTATTTTTGGGAAGTTATTAAGCTTATGTGTTAAGGTGTCTGTAAAAGTTTGTACTTACCACATAATTCAATGTTGCAGTTGCTTTCCTAGTTATTTAAGGAGGAACCAGAGACACTGAAACTCTCTCTCCCCCTAGCATGTTGTTCAGGCATCTCATGAGGGAGCAGTGAGCTCATGAAAATTACTGATTAAAAACTTATTTCAAATACTATTTTCTCAGTTCTGTCTTCATGAAGTAACTTCTGTTACTGTCATTTCAGACTGAATAGTCCTACTTTATGGAGAAATTGTTAAAAAGATTAAAGAAGCTGCAGTGTGTCTTGCTGGCCTTAACTTGTACTTGAGTGATTCATATCTGCAGAGCTCAGGACTTGGTCCCAAATTCAGATCTGCATCACAGTATAGTGAAGTGATATGGAGCTCTGCTTCAGGCTGCACAGGTGGTGTGGAATATCCCTGTTTCATGTTCTGGGGCAGCCTAATGCCCATGGGCCTTTTATTGCTGGAATATTTTCATCTTGTTTGAGTAACAGTTAGAATAATTACAAAAATAAGTTTTAGGGATTGTAAGGTTTTTTCCTTATTATGCTACAGATATATCAAACATAAAATATTCCTCAGAAAAATAAACATACTGATTTCTCCAGGGATATTTAATAACAGTGTTAGTCTAGTATGGATTTAAGTAAACTACAACATAGTTTTTTACTTAGGGAATAAACCAAATTTATAGCCTTTGACCTATGGCCAGTCTCAGTGTTGGTTCAGTTTTGCAGATAATTTACTCCAATCCTTTCCTCCACAAGTCCTGTTAATCCAAATTAAAGTACCAGTTTTTGGCATGTGTCCCGCTATCAGAAAATTTCATATTTCTTGTCCATTCTGCTCTTCTTGCACTCCATGTTAAAGAGTCTTCCTAGTCTGATAATACTATGTCTCTGAAAAATAGGAACAATCCTGCTGTTCTTTCAGTAAACTGGGAGAGGGAGTGTGTGCATGTTATGGAATTTTTTTTGAACCCCACTTGAAAAATCTCATAAAATATGCTGCCAGACAGATGAGCTGCTGAAACTGAGAACAGAGCAGATAAGCACAAATATACTACACTTACCATTCACCAAAAATTTGTATGGCTTTTTTGACATCATGCTTGCTACTAAGAATCTTCCCATAATCCCTCAGATAGCATTAGATTTATCTGGGGGTTCCTTTGAACTATGTTGTATTCAGGCTTTTCTTAATCATCCATGTTACTGCTCAATTCCTCTATGTGCCAGAGAAGACCTGGATTAGGTAAGGTTTTGAAAACATTGCAGAGAAACAGAAAAGTGAAAGGTGTGAAAAGAGACATCAAATAAATATAGAGTGCACAAATAGGGAAAGCAGCTAGCAGTTTTGCTAAAGGTATAAAGAAAAGACAGCAGCAGAGGTGTCAACATGAAAATGGACAGGAAAACAATAATTTTCCTCTCCCAAATACCTATCTGCAAATGCTGTTAGTGGAATTCCCACCAAATTTTTGTTTGCCAGGAATCCTGTTCAAAGAGAAAGAGACCCATGTTTGAACTTGACTACTGGATTGTCCCGTCAAGAAAATCACACTCAATAATACTTTATCCGTCATTGCTTTATGTCCAATTCATGCAAACTTAAGGAGTTTCAGAAAGACAGCACTGGAGAAATAGATCTATATAATCAAATAATGCCTGCAAATCAATTGGCACCACTTGCAAGAAAACATATTAAAAGGGTGACATGCTTTGTGTGTGTTCAGGTCATCCTAATTCTGGGGTTTCTTACATAATTGCATGAAGGAAAACTTGTTATCTGACTAAATAAAGGATTTGGTTCTTAGAAAACCCTCCAGTCTGGGTGAGGGGCAAATAACAGCAAGAAAAATGTTTATAGAAGTGTGGAAGTGAAGTATTGAATCCGTTTTAAGAGACTATTCATTACGTGTTCCTTCTAAATAAACTGATGACTTCCAATTCAGTTTTGCTGAAGTTTCTTTTTAATAATTTTTCTATTTTGCAAGACTTATATATAACTTTTATAGTTTTTTAAACTAAGAACTGTGAAAGCTGACTTGCAATCCCGTCCTGTGTAATATCTTTCCTGCTATGAGTTTGTTACCCTGCCTTCAATAGGAATACAGATTTCCACACAGAAAGTATTAATTCTCTTTAGTAAGTTTTATTGCACTGGAATAACATGATGAACATGTATACAGGGTGTTTCTTGACATGCATTCACCATAGATTTGCTGTGTAACATCATTTCTTTTGCATGGAGGACAGATCAAATGGACCATTGTTTCAGCAGCAACCTCTCTTTCTATAGACATTCCTATCAGTTGCTGTTTTACATGTGTCCTTGGGATTTTATAGGTCATTGATTACACTTCAATCTGCCACAGCTCTGACATATTTGTGGAGAAATCTTCTCTTGCCTTTAGTTGAATATCTTGCATTTTAGCATCTTTTACCTTCTAGAGCATGAGCAGCAGAAGAGAGAGAAGATATCTGCTGTGCACAACTTCCCATTGGTCCCAGTCTGTCTGCCAGAGAAGATGTTTAGTGCTGAATCTGTTCTACAGACAACCTTCGCTCCTCTTAAGTTTCGTTAGCTGTTCACCTGTCTGTACTCCTCTTGCTTCAGTCTACTATCTTGTCAGTTACCTTGTATTAATTTTTTTGAAGGAAACTTTTGGACACTGAGGATGAGCTCTCTGACATCCAGTCGGATTCAGTCCCGCTGGAAGTGCGGGACTGGTTAGCTTCTACATTCACCAGAGAAATGGGAATAGTGAAGAGAAGACCAGAAGAAAAGCCCAAATTCCGAAGCATTGTACATGCTGTCCAGGCTGGGATTTTTGTGGAAAGGTGAGGACTTTGTCTTGTTATTACATCAAGTACTGCGTTTATCCATGGTGTCTGCCATTGAAGATCTCCTAAGTGGTGGGATGAACCTGAAGCAAATCCTTGAACGAGAATTTATGCTTTGATTTCTGAAATCACTCTATTTTTATATACAGAAATCCAGATGAAACCTCTAAATTTGTAAAATCTCCTGAATCCTGGAAAATTCAGGGGATGAACTAAGTGGCTTCACAACTTGTACACTAAATAGTATCAAAGACTGGTCTAACATAAAAGAGTAATATACCAGCAGGGGGGCTCTACTCATAAGTTCATAAAGAGATTTATGCAATTTTTGGGATTTAGTGTTATTTCACAAAATGTGAAAAATGAATTTTAAAAAAAGGAAATTATTCCAGTCCTTTTTAAATGAGTGCTATTTCTTACTATTTTCTTTGTACTTTTAGGATGTACCGAAGAACTTCAAGCATGGTTGGTTTGGCTTACCCAGCAGAAGTGATAGTCACATTTAAGGTGAAATAAGTTTAATCATTGTGGAATTTGAATGTGGGTTTGCTTATGTTAAGTGACGTTTAGGGTCAAATGGATGTATTATTCTACTAAGTGTACCCTAGTCATAGTTAGTACTACAGAACTGAACACACAGAACAAAGAAAGTAATAGTAAAAAATTTAGGAATAGCATATGATTCTGATTAGTTTTGATTTCATTTAGATGTTATTGAAGCAATAGGATGAAATTTGTATGGAAATGTGAGACAGAGTTTTATCAGCTCCCAGACAGCATCCCAGACAGCAGCATTTGCTTCCTTTTTAGGAAAGAAAAAGAAGATAATATTGGGATAGAGCTAACAAAAGAAGCCAAAGTTTATGGAACAAGTACAGTATTTGCTGTGAATTTAAGATATTAATATAGTTCACCCAAAAGACAGTCTTTTTTGGTGAGCTAAGTTCCTAAATGCAATTAAAAACTGGTATTTCTTGAGAATGAAGTGCCTCAGTTTTTCCCTCAAACACTGTTATATTATTCTCAAATTGCTTTATTGTTAATGATGTCAGTGTTAATAACGTTAGCCTCTTTAAAGGGTGATATTCATTTTAGCTTTCATTTCATTCATAAGGTTCTACAGACATTTTGTATGCAGAAAGTTAAATTTTAAAGATTAAGACCTTTGATTCAAAGCCTGCAAAGTTAACTAAGTTATGTTGCAAGTATTTCATTATTAACTGACAATTTTTTGGCATTAATATTGAAATAGTCATTAATGTTTTCTACAGTAGGATTTTGAAAGAATTTGACATTAAATAAACTGCCAAACTCTCCCCCTTCCCTTCAAAAAACTCCAAAATATATTTTCCAGTGATTAACTGGGAATTCACTTAACAGGTGGAAATGTTAAGTTTTTTGGTTTTTTTTCTCTTCCCCTCATCTACAGGATGTTGATAAATGGTCTTTTGATGTATTTGCCCTAAATGAAGCAAGTGGAGAGCACAGTCTGAAGTTCATGATGTATGAGCTGTTTACCCGATATGAGCTTTTGAACCGTTTCAAGGTCAGGAACTAGCCACAAATTAAAATATGCATGCAAAAATACTTGTGTCAAATTTAAAATACAAGAAAGCCAGCATATGTGTGAAAAGTTTTTTTTATTGTACTATGTAGTGCAGAATTTCAAAGAATGTGGTAAGTCAAATATTGTAATTTGACAATGTTCTACCAAATGGAACTTCAGCCAGAGCCTGCAAATTTTTTATGCAACTCAAAAAATGGAAAGTTATGTGGACCCATGTCATGTCATGTGTAAGCATTGCACAAACAGATTATGTATACAACCTATTTATTCA